AGTATTTATATTTGAACTCTAATAACTCTTCTAGTTTGCAAAAAGGAATGAAAAAGTAATGCCCCCGCTGCATGTATCAAATTTTACATCCAACCCCCCTCTCTCTTGTTGTCATTTTCTCCTATGTCCCCCCTCTAATTTTCCAATTTCCCCCCCCCCGCCTCCAGGTAATTATTGCACACTCCCTTAACTCCTTCCCCTTAATCTCTCTCACGAACCAATTTTTTTGTGCTGGGACCACAGTGTTGCTGGCATGAAACCGTTAAGTTAACCCCCCCACTTTCCCGTACCAATTTTCACGCTCTCTCCGCCTCCCTCGTACACTTTCTAATTTTCTTCATTTCCACGGCCGGTACGGTACGGTTTTCCCGCCGCTTTCATCCACAGTCGACTCAAACCTTCAGGGAAATCGAGAAAAGTTAATCAACCTCAAAAGTGAATGGAACTACGTCCGCATCTCGAAAACTAAAGCCCCTCCCCCCCACATCTCCGCCGACCCTGTGTAAATCTTCTAACCAAATTACTCAGTCGAAAGTGGATACGTATTAGCTTTTTCTTTTCTTTACCGTTAAATATTCATAACTTCTCACTTTTCTGCGCTATTTTTCGCGTTTTGAAGTTTTTCTATTTATTAAAAAAATGGAAAAATAAAAAATTGCTCGCAACACTTGTCTTTTTTTCATTTTTTTTATTAAAATGGAATTATGGAAAATTAGGCTATAGGTATGCCATTTTTCTATTTTTTTCATTTTTTGAACACAATGGAAAAAATGAAAAAATGGTGCGAATAAATATAATTTTTTTCATTTTTCCGTTTTTCTATTTTTGGGGAAAAGTAGAAAAACGGAAAAATGAATTAGGAATCGAAGATTTTTTCATTTTTCTAACTTTTCAAACAATATCGAAAATTAAAAATAGCAAAATATCGCTTTTAGCCGTTTACACAGTTTTTCGTATTTTTAAAGAGGACTTCAAAATTAGAAAAATGAACAAATTGTCAATTTTCTCTGTACCTTAAAATATATATATGTAACGAGGATAATAAATATTTCCTTTTTCGAATTTTGTTGGAAAAATGAAAAATTAGATTGGCCGACGTGTGCACGGACTAACCTGCATAGCTTTGTAAGTTGCTTCAAATACTCGTACAACGAAGCACTGATGGAGAGAGGGGGTAAGACCGCTGGCCTCAGGATTGTTTTTCAGATGATGACTATTTCGAGCTCGGGATTTCGAGCTACCGACGTAAGGAGTTAAAAAGAATTGCCCTTACCCTCACCATAAAAGGGTATTATTATAGTCACATCTCAATTTTGATGGGCATTTGGTGTTATTCAACTGTTTAATAACATACTTCTAAGTCCTGACCCATGGAAAGGGAGCAAATCTCCTATGAAGCAATAAATTATATGGTAGTTAGCAATCCCCAAAAGTAACAACCTCCCCAAGTACAAACTCATTAATTTCCCTTTTTGGAAAGAAATAAAGGAAATGATGGATATAACAAGCTGATAGTAAAAGCGAATCTTAATTGTTATTTCGATAGAAAACCCAGAAGCCGTCGCGTATAAACTGACAAATCAATTCTGAGTCAAGAGAGGATAAAGGGGACAGAGAAGGCATCCCCCATACACACCCTATTCCATAGGTAATTCGTCTCGAGTTATTTTTAAGACCATAGATCCCAAGGAGAATTAAACAACAGCCAATCACAGAGCGCGAATGTGTTCCGTTTGGATGACCCACGCTCAGAGCCACGCGTCCTTCACGAATTGAAGGAGAAAAAAAATGGCGGAAAACTCGGAGGGCGATATTGCTATATTCGTTATGTCGACGAAAACGACTAATGAGAGATTTCTGCTAAAGCGGTGTCGGCGAAATGGAAATTAAAAAAGAATCGCCCTTCCTCTCTTGTATAGAGCTAACAGTACAGCAGGGAAATCCTTAACACACTGAATATTCTCTCAGGATCATTTATAATTTACAGTTTGAAGAAAGCAATTTCTGGTTTGATATTTATTCTTTTATTAGTCTTTTATTATTCAACAAGAATAACACTTGGCTTCCTACTTGCTTTATTGTACAAACGACCAGTTTCAATAGACCGGCAAAATTTCTCATTTTATTAAAGCACAGAGGTTACGACAACTTCGAGTTAAACTGATTTCACGGGTTGTAAAAGAGTCCAGCGATTCCCTTTTCCCAGGTGAGCGCCGACTCATTTCGCTTCAGTACTCAGAAATGCTTTAAGTGTCTTAACGCTTTCATTGCCTTTCGCCCGACATGTTTTGCACAGCGTTTAGTCATGCGAAACCTCCACGAAACATCCACCCAGCGCGCGAGGTAACTTTATCCCGATTCTAAAAATAACTCGAGACGAATTACCTATGGAATAAGTTGTGTATGGGGGATGCCTTCTCTCTCCCCTTTATCCTCTCTTGTTCTGAGTTAATAAAGGAAAAGTTACGAGAGAGCTGTTTTCTTTCGCTACCTTATTGTACTCACTTGAAAGGTGCTTAAGATTCGCTCCCTCTCTTTGAGGAAAGCTAAAAAGGTTCACTACAGGCACCTATTTTTGGGCTGCCGTTAGGCTTAGCCACAAGTTGCCGATGAATCCCAAAAAAGTTGCCGATAAAAGTGTCTAAAAGTTGCCAAAAAGTTGCTGAATTTCCAAAAAGTTGCCGAAAAGTTGCCAAAATTTTTCTGCTTTTCGTACCTTTTTTGGGTGTTAAAAATTAAAAATTCGCACATTGCTTCTTATCAAAACTTTATTTGTCAAAGTCCATCAGAGGTTCTTTCCATTTCACTTGATCAAAAAATAGTCTATCAGAATGACATGAACAAAACATGGTAATTGTCCGCCATCTTGAAAAACGTGCAACGTGATACCGCTGACCTCGTGAGCATCACAAAAATCAACCCATGGGGGGGCCTTAGGCCCTAATTATTGTATTTTAGAATAAATTGAATAAATGTCTATCGAAAACTGACCAATGTGGCTCAAAAAGTGAAGAAAGTGGCTTCAAAGAACCTCAATAAGCCCAAAGTTGCCGAAAATTCTAAAAGTTGCCAAAACTCTAAAAAGTTGCCGAAAATCTCAAAAGTTGCCGAAAAGTTGCCGAGCGACTTGTGGCTAAGCCTAGCTGCCGTCATGTTTCACTATCCCACACCACAACTATATGTATAACCTGAGCCAATACTGGAACTTCCTATAACAAAATAGAAAAAAGGAAAACTAAACAATATTTTTTCGTCTTTTCTCATTACTGTGAAATAATGAAAACTATGGTCGTGCCTTGACCCACACCCATTAGGGCCATACATATCTTACAAAGGGTTTTCAAGACAAACTGATTTTTAGCCAAACACCGGTCTTTTTAAACTTTTTTTCCATATTCACGACATCTAGGAAAATATTTAGATCATCAATTATTTATTGCTGATTTAAATCGACACAAAAAGAATATTTTGTATTCTGGATACTTCGGGCAACAAACATTTACTTATTTACTTACAATATGATCCGCATTCTAACAAACTAACTGCCAAGTTAGGAAGCTGTGTACAGCGCGTAGCTATGGCAATAACAAAATATACATGTGTAAAGACACGTTCGTTGTTATGGAGGAGTAAGGCAACGGCAGCCGCAATTTATTTTGGAAAGCAGGTTGTAGCATCAAAGAGATTTACAAGAAAAAGCGACAATGAGCTTAAAAGGTCGGAGCTTTACACAGAAGAGTTTGAGGGATTTGGTTTTTCGGGTCCGTCAATCATCAGAGTTGGGACGGAATCTATGCAAATCACAATGCAACGCGCTCGCCCAGCTTCGCCTGCTTACGAATTCAAGAGAGGGGAAAAACAGAACTGGTAAAGTCTCGTAATTTATTGATCGGAGAGGAAAAAAGGCAAGGAAACACTACCGCTATTTGTCATCATGAAACAACGCCTACAAAGCATCTTATGCGGCCTAAAAGTGCGGTTTTTGTTGACAAAACATTGCAAACATCTAATAATCTATGATTTGCAATCGAAGAACTAATTATATAAAAGGCCAAAGGGCACGTCGGAGTTTTAAAACCTCGACTTTGCTAAGTTTTGAGGGTGGCTTCTGCGGTGATCCATAGTTGTACTCAGGCAAAGGGGTGAATGCCTCAGAAATTGCTTGTAGTTAACTGCCACCCAACATGATATTTGTCGTTAACTGAAGCAGCATGTCCCCATTGTAGGCAAGAGTGCATTAAGGTGGATCACACAAGTTCATCTTGAATCTGTTTCACCTTCTTCTGAAGGCCCGAGATATTCTCCACGCGTTCGGTTCTTCGTATCTGTTTGCACAAAAATGATTTAGGCATTAGATGAAGCTGGTACTTGTTCTGAACTACAAATCATAGTTTTATCATTTACCAGTTGCCCTTATAGCTATGGAAAAAGTTTTTAGGCGAACACCAGACTACATGACCAGCTTACATGACCTGAAGAACGTTCCACCAGCAGACGTGGCTGATGGAAGAAAGGAACATTTGGTCTTGTTTTGCAACTGGGTATAAGAAGTTGTAGTGCTTTACACAGTGACTAATGTTCTGTTTAGATCATACACTGAACTGACCTAGAAGAAGCAAAACCAGGAAGTAGTCTTAAGTTAAACAAAAACTGAGTGTGCCGCAAATCTAATTTGTCGTTCTTTTTAAGTAAACAGGCATGTTGCCAAACAATAAAATGTAACTAGACTGAATTACAACTACACCCAAAAACAAGAATTTCACGTCGACACAATTTTAACATGCTCACAACCCAACTTACACGTGACGTAATCGTACATCAGCGAAATGTGCGAGATATTTGGCGAAAATATTCACGGCTTTCTGTTATCAATCGAGAACCGACGTTACTAATTGCCCTTGCGACAAAAGAAAACAGGAAAAAGAGTAGATCACTGTTTTACCCGAGATGGTTTAACAACTTTAGCATCTTTTTGGAGCTTTGGGGATGCAGTGAGGTGCTTACCGGTTATAGAGCGGCTCCAGCCTTTCCTGTCTTTTGCGCTTGCTCAGCTTTGTGGGATTTCCCATCTTAAAAAACGCTGGAGCAAACTCAACCAGCCATTTGGGATCGATATTGGTGACTTCTCTCATGTACTCCTTTGTAGTAAGCACAAGTTCGTGATAAACCACCCATTCGGGTTGACGATTAAACAAGGCGCTTGAAGGATGGATGTACACAACCTGGTTATCTGTTACTGTGCGGTAACCCTCCTGTGGGTCCTTTCTTGCTGCATTACGGAAGAAGCCGCTTGTTATCGCCTTTTGAGCGCGAGATGTTGTCTTACCACAGGATACCACATCAAGTTTGTGTCTGCAAAAGAGATTACACTTCGGTGAGTTGGTGCCAAAAAGAGCCACGTACATGTAACTATAGAGCTAAAGAGCAAACGTAAAAACTGCACTACAAGTCGCTACGGAGCGTACACTTCGGCGTCGTGGTTGAGGAACTGAAATGCGGAGGAATAGTAAGAAATGAAATATGGTAAGAGTGAGGTGTTAGTTTGGGAAATTGTGGGATTTGTCAGGATATTCTGAAAAGAGCAACATCCAAGAGGCCTACTTTCCAAAAAATAGCATTTCGGGACAGATTGTCTCTGAGATATTAGCCCGGTTATGCTCTGATGACTCCATGAAAATGCTTCTAAATTTGACTTGGTTCTAAACGTTTAAACCTAAGTCAAATATGAGGTTAATCGCGGTGAATAACAAGTCTAACAAAACAAACAGTGAAAAAAGAATTCTCTATTTTTCTTAGTCACATCAGGCTTCAAAAACAGCACAGCAGTCTCATGTACTGATTAAAGATATGTAAGGCATGGGTAAGGAGTCAATTACGTTGAGCATGGAATTGGCTAAAACTCAATGTTATGAGTTCGAATGTTTTGAGGATAATTATTCACTGACTATCAGCACGTAGGGATGTCGGATTAACACAAGGAAGTTTAATGCCAAAGGAACATAGTCTTTACAGAGCTTTAAAACACAGCATCCGCCCACACAAACTTGGCTTGAAAATAATTCAAACTAAACAGGCTCGCCAATAATAACAAACTCTCACTTGAACTTCAGATATCTTACGGCGTCCGCCAACTTGTAAACATAGAACTTGAAAATCGACCTTCGTCACACTTGACTAAACACAGCAGTCCAGCTCGTGGGAAAAAACTTACTTCGTCAAAAGAACTCGCTTGGAACTTGTATAACGTTTGACATAAGGTTCTAGAAAATACTAAACAGCCGAATAGTAGTAGCTTTTCGACATATTTTATGATTTCAGTAACTGATGCAAATCTGCTGACTCATGCTGAAATGTAAACATGCCCTAATTAATTATTCATGAATAATCCAAAAACGTAGAGAACCTTCGAGAAAGTCAGGCAACGCATGAAAGAAATTTTACTACGTAACACTCAACAAAAACAAAATGTCTGTGCAGCATTTTGTAACTTTGAAACAGTTCGAAAGGAGGGCTCGTGAGATGTTTTTCAACACTTGAAGAGAAATTTCGTGTCTCTGCGCGGCCACGTAATATCCTCTATTTATTACTCGAGTAAATTAAAGACTAAACTCGAAGTGATCTCAAGATATCACGAAGTAGTCAGGTCTCATTTCTTGAAATAGCCGAAACAAGCCGAAAAGTCACGAACTTGCACGCCCAATCTTGTTCCGAAACTAGTGCACCATTTCATAACTATTTTTCAGATTCCGAACCACCTTGCGTCGCAGTAGCGCAATCGGCTAATCCCTCAACTTAGAGTCTCCTCTGATCTGACGGGTCACACGGGTGAAACGGTTCAAACCCCGGGAAAGCCGAAATAATAATTCTTCCTTCCTCGAAAAAGATAAAGAATAAATCAAAGAAATTGAAGTGATCTCGACATATCTCGAACTAATTCGGCTCTCACTTCGTCAAATAGCCGAATAAAACCGAAAACCTACAGACTTTACGTGCCCAATCTTGTCAAAAAAAGTCAACTTTGATACATTACTGAGCGTCACGAATCCTTTACTTCGCGCTCCGCCGAGGTAACAAACCACCTTCCCATGTAAATACATGTAACTCATTGGAGAAGGAAAACTGCGTTTCAGTTCTCTTTTACATCTGTGCACTATCAGGCCATAATCTCACCTGTCCATAATCCCAAGCATTTGCTTTCTGATGTCTTGAGCTCGCCTAAGCGACCTGGCCTGCACGAAATTCTCGAAACACCATGGGTTTGAGAACTTGTTGTTTTTCCAAGAATTGTAGACAGCAAGTAAGGTCAAGTGATCTCCCTCGGACTGATGGAATTTGGCCTTCTTTTGGTCAGCGAGGGCTTGTTTATCCTGTTATAAACCAAGACATAGTGTCATAAGTATGGTTACCCTGTTCCAGGCCCCGGGTACACGTGACTGATCGTAGCGTCCTGAGATCGTGTTTGGTCGGATTATCGTCGAATGGTGCCGACACTAGTCGTCTGGATAGCAAAAATTGTCACCGGGCTCCAGTTGTTCAAAAGATGAATAACGCTATCCAGTGGATAAACTAATTGATTTCCCTAATACCTGTCCGCTGGATTGTGTTGCAAAGTCGTTGGAGAAGTTTCCCCAATAAGGCACGATATGCCGAGGTAAAGAAAGAGACAAAATGGTTCCTTATGCCTATGTTTTGTTAAAGCTTTCAATACGGGGAGAATATAATACAAATTACGAGTTTATTCAAAATAGGAACTGTAGCTGGAGTTTAAGTTTCTTCCTTCTTTATTTTGTTACTCTTTGCAATTTAAGCAACCCAAGATTCTAGGAGCCCACGGTCGCTAAATGTTTTCAGGCAAATTGATGGCGCTCAAAGCCGACCAGGGGACACGTTCGTCAGAAAGGAATTCAATTGGAAAAGACGGAGACTTTTTTGGTGAACTTATCACAATATTGCAATTTAAAATGTATGAATTTTTTTATTGCATCGCAAGACGCTACTATCGTTCAATGTTTTTTGTTCAGTCGTAACGGGAATTGAATTGATGTCAATGTTCCCTGAACGTATTTCTGTTTAAATGAGATAACACGCTTTTATAAGAACAGCTGCCCACCTTAGGTCTGTAGAAGACGTTCTGAACAGATAACATGGAAACGATGGTTAACACCTCGTCACTACATCCAAGATGGACAGACTGAATTAACATCTTGGACAACTGCGGCTCCAGAGGAAACTCTGCCATTCTTCTCCCTAATCTTGTCAGTAGACCCTCGTCGTCCAAGGCACTCAGGGAATGCAGCTGCTCCATAGCTGAAATCATAGTCTGCCAACAAATAATTACAGACAAAAAGTGTTCTTTTGTTTCCTCACTGGTTCAAATGTTTAAAAGCAACTAACTCAAATCAGCTGTGCACACTAAGCTCTAAGGAAAGATTATCTTTAACAGCATACTAATTTATTACTATTATCGTTGTTATTATTATTATTATTATAATGATGATGATGATGATGATGATGATGATGATGATGATGATGATGATGATGATTATTATTATTGCCATCAAAAAAGTAAAGTAACATTCAAAAACTAAGCCATGGATCAGATTAAGATATATTACGATCTGCACTCATTTGTGTTAGAGGATCTAGGACAAAAAGAAGAGCTCAAGATCATGACACTCAGAACTCCGGCACCATTTTGGAATACGAGGTTTTATTCTTCTTATTGATTTTTTTAAATATCAGGAACGGATTAATTTCTTTTTGTCATGACTTAATTTAAAACACTGAACTGTGTGCGAGTGATATTGTGCTACCAAAAATGATCGCATCTGAGCCGAGAGGAATGTACTTGGGAAATCGATATTGACACTGAATTCTTATTTTACATATAATTTTTAATGTTATATAGCGCTTAATTATAATTTCAAATATTTCTGTAAATTATGTACATCTTTTCAAAGTTAGACATCTCCTTTTTATAAAAAAATATTATCTGATCATTAATGTTATTATTATTATAATTATATTATTATAATAATTATAATTATAATAATGTAATAATATAATATAATATAATAATATTATCATTATTATTATTATTATTATTATTATTATTATCTCTTTTATCACAGTCTTTGCTGGTGTTCTTTTTGTGCATCAGCCGGGCGCAAACCATGCACCTAGAGCGTCAGTCACTCAAGTCAATCATTATTATTGTTATTATTATTATTAAAAACACTGGACTGCCTGCAAGAGTTATTGATCGCACCTGAGCCGGTAAGAATGTATTTGGGAAATCGTTATTGACACAGTGATTGCATTTTTATGATTTATACAATTCTTAATGTTGTGTAGTTCTTAATTGTTACTTCAAATATTTCTGTAAATTATGTACATATTTTTAAAGTGGAATAAAATTGTTGTTTATTATCTAATAATAATCTAATAATTGATAATAATAATAATAATTATTATTATTATTATCATTATTATCATCATAATCACCTTTATAATCATCACAATCATTATCATCAGTAGTCATGGTAATTACATTTACCACACTACGTTAATAATGGCAGCTACTATACAAGCAATGACTAACAAATAATTATTCACCGAAGTGGAGGTGGCTAGTCGTGGTTATTTACCGAGCTAAATATCCACCACTAAAACAGTGAGATAACTGAGCACAAAAATTATGATTAACTCAAATACTGTTGCCAACGATTACAATTTTGTGGCGTAATGACCCAACGGGCGCGGCCGTCGCTTTTTCTTGCCCACAAATAAAACTTTTAAAGGCATTTGTTTAGCTCTTGCGGGGAAATTTCTTCAAAAGGAGTTGTGAATTCTATTTGTATTTAAAATCATTCTGTAAAAAAAGATTATTAAATTTAGTTTTAAGCTTATATATGAACAAGTCAACTAAATAAAGTAACGCAAGACTTAAGCTTAATTTGCATTTAGATAGATAGATAGATAGATAGATAGATAGATAGTTTATTAAAACTGCATCGCAGCCAAAGGCTGAATTACGCAATTATTTACAAAAACTTTACAGTACTTGAAAATTACAAATGAATCCTAGGCAATAAGTCGAAAACGGATTTTTAAGAAAATATTAAAAATTCTATATAACATATTCATATTGAAATATGTTAAAATATAAAGAATGAATATAAGTGGGATAAAACTACAGCCCAGACTGTTTCGACATCGCATATATAAAAGTACTACTTGTTCTGTTCGTGCAAAGCTTTGGCATATTAAAAAGGCGCTGTCGTCTTAGGTTATAGCGTGAGTTGTTGTCACAGTCTGGTGGACGGAGCGCCTTCAATTTATAGTTTAGATCACTGGCAATGTTATCAAAAAGCCTGCTACATAGTACGTAATAATGCTCCAAAATTGGTGTTAACCCCACCTCTATTACCGAGTTGCACTTTCCTGAGGTTGTTATTGATATTGCTCTTTTCTCGAGCCGTACCAGCTCTTTCTTTAAGTACTGGGGGACACCGTTGAAAATACAGGTGCTGCATAATCAATAACAGATCTCAAGCACCATACGTAGAACAGTGCTAGATATTGTTTCGGAACTCCCGCTCTCTTTAATTGAGTTAGGAAATAGAGTCTCTTGCTAGCCTTTTTGGTTATCTCAGTTACATGGTCGTTCCATGTTAGATCGTTCGCTATTGTAAGGCCTTAGTACTCTTAGTAGTAGCTTTGTACTAGTAACTAACTCTACCTCCTTTCCTTCTATGATGACGGGATCAAAGACTCTTTGCTCTTTAGCAAAGAAGATCCTGAGTTCTTTGCACTTATCGGCGTTTAGTTGGACCCTGTCCTCGCGAGACCACTCAATTACTCTGTTAGCCATTGCTTGCACGTGACTTTCTCCACCCTTTACTACTACCTCAGACTTTCTAACTTTCTAACGAGTATACTATGATCTATGAAATCAAACGCTTTACGGTAGTCCAATAATAATGTTCTTACGGTGGCTCCGTTTCTATCCGTACCCAAGGACCAGCTGTGCAGCATACTAATTAGCGCCATTGTAGTTGAGGAATTTGGGATGGCTCCGTACTGGTTGTCATCGAGGATGTTCATGACCGCAGGTTTCACGAAACCATCCACGACGAACTCTTCCGCCACTTTAGAAATACAGGGAGTCAGGGATATCGGTCTCAATTCCTTTTGAATGTCGACCACTGGTTTCTTTTTGGGAAGGAGAGTCACGTCAGCCATTTTCCAGATGGTGGGAAGATGCTGTTCAGCATAGGAGGCATTCAGGATTTCCGTGATGAGATAGGCCACCAGGTCGCAGTATTCTTTCAGCAGCCAGCTGGGTGTTCTATCCGGTCCGCAGGCCTTTCTTAGATTGAGGACATCCAGTGCTCTTTGTACGTGCTGTTCGGTTACCCTTAAGATCTCGGGCGAGTCGGACTCGAGAGGAACCCGTTCAAAAGGAGCTGGTAGTTTATACTCCCCGAGTGGTTTTAGGAGAGCGACATTGATGGCTTTTGGTTTGCTCTTTGAAAGGCAGTTCTGAGAATCATTCGATTTTAATCTGGCCAGCTAAATCGCTGTGGGAGGTCTTTAGGCCGCAGAGGCGTTTTGTTTCATCCCACCACCTTTTCGGGTTTTCTCCTTTTAGGTGCTGGATCTTTGACTCATAGTATTTCCCTTTGCAGATTTTCCTCTGTCGGTTGACAAGGTTACGAAAGTATTTAAATTGAGCTGAGTCAGGGCCATGTGTACAAAACGCCTTTTGTCTCTTCATAATAAGAGATTTCAAACTCTCGTTCATCCAAGGGACGTCGGCCGTACAGATAAACAAAAAACTTTTTCACCGGTCAAAAAGACAAAGTCAAAAAGACAAAGCTTAAGCTTCTTCTGTTAAAACTTCCAAACCGAACTTCGTCACCTTCTTCATGTATTTCGGGAACAGCTTGCTTGATTAATTGTGAAATTTCTTTGCTTGTTACGGCAGCAAACTAGGAAGGCATTTTGCTCGCAACTTACCCGAGTTTGGCGTCGCTCGCTTGGAGGAACTGGAGGTGAATCAGTGAATAGTGCAGGATATTCACTGATAGAGTGGCCAATCAGAGCGCACGAAAAACACTATCCACTGTTTTAGTATATGCTAAAAGAAAATATCCTCTATTTCTCCAAGTAAACGCCTAAAGGCCGATTTCTACACTTACCTCCATAGGAGGTGGATCCATAAAATCAAAGGAAAGAAGATCATTGATTCCCATGGCCTTGAGTGACAAAATAGTACTAGCAAGGTTTGTCCGCTGTATCTCAGGGACAGCGGTCGGTAACATCTCATCTCTGTACGCACGCTCAGTATATAAACGGTAACATTTACCAGGCCCTGTCCTGCCAGCTCGACCGGAACGTTGCTTGGCCTGGGCCTGCAAGATAACAGTGACACAGTGTTGTTAAAACTGGCAGCCGAGAAATGGATAACGAACAATAGCGGCGGAAGGGGGGGTGGGGTGGGTTGGGGCTGGGTACAGTGGAGACATCTTCGTAACTCGTTACAGAAGAAGGGAAAGGAAAATGGTAACTTCTGTCGGTATGAAGATTCTTTTCCCTGCCAATGAAAAGGTGAAGACACTTATCTTGTAATATTAAGGCAGCACTACTGTGTTGGGTGGACGAGAGGAAGATCAACAAAGATCAACTGGTATTGCTATCTTAAGGCGTGTAAGTCATTTTATACCATTTGATACTAGAGTGAATATGTACAATGCACTGGTAATGCCATATTTTAATTACTGTAGTGCCGTATGGGGTAATATCAATAAGGGACTAGCAGACAAACTTCAAAAGCTGCAGAATAGGGCTGCTAGAATTCTCACCTTTTCTAACTATGACGTTCGCTCAAGTGTTTTGTTGGATGAGCTTGGCTGGGAAAGGCTAGAATATGTAAGACTTAAACAGTTGGCTGTGACAATGTATAAAATCCATAATAATCTTTCCCCATCGTATCTGAGGCGGATCTTTACCAACACCTCAAATGTACATTCACACAATCTTAGAAATTCTGAGTTAAATTATTGTCCCCAGACCCAGAACTGAGTCTGCAAAAGGGAGCCTACACTACAGAGGATCTGTTCTGTGGAACAAGATTCCCTCAGAGATTAGAAAACTGCCTAGTTTAAATGTTTTTAAAACTTCAATTCATGGGAAAGATTTTTCTAATACACCATGACCCATTGTAACTCTTATTATTCATCATGTAAGTTTTTGCATTTTTAACATAATTATAGTCAATAGTTCCCTTAGAGTATTTTAGTCTAGTTTTAAACACGATTCCTAGGAAGACCATGTAAAATGATACGATTTCGTGTATAAATAAAGATTGATGATGATGATGATGATGATGAAAGATTTGTTATACAAGGTTCACGTTTTTGTAAGCTTGGGTCCTAGGCACAATCAGTGGCTGCCATTTTTGGACACACTCAATTCACACCCTTTTCCAAAAACTGTTCAACCACAAAGCCTCCTTAAGTAAACCCACGGTGCGAAATAAACAGATAACCAGCGAACCAGTTGGCTTGATAGCGCAGTGTGTGGAGAATTACTCTGTCATCGCAAACGTCATAGGTTTATTTTGGCGTTTTTTTTTGTGCAACTTTTTAAGTTAGGAACAAAAGTGTGATCATCGTTCACGTGTTGTTCTTTCTCCTGCAGTTAAAAAAATACCTATCAAACGCTATGTATTCACTATCATCAGTTCGGTGTTATATGTTTGTCCATCCGTCAGAGGAAAAACCTTATGCATTAACAGCTAAATCTCTTGATACAAAAAGACATCTACCAAGGACTATAGAACAATAGTCCCTATCTAAGGCACCCAGTTCTAGGTGTGTACAACACTTCGCCGCCAGTAAGAATCTCTTTTAATCAGCGCACGTAACAAATAGTTTTTGTACTTATTGGCCTACAGCCAGTAAAGCTCTGTGTCAGCGCCTACCTTAGTCCGTCCGTTAGGTCATTTCTATTGTTCTCCTAGTGCGCTAACGCCTAATCTTCGGAACAATCGCCCATTTTCTTTTTGTTTTTCAAGCCCAACAATTTAATAGTATAAAAGTACGTCAATCATTTCGAAGACATTTATAGTCAAAAGAAATAAAGCAAAAAGGGGTAAATAACCCTGAAAACCCTAAAATCAAACTACTACTAATAGTTGACACAGCCCCCGCTCTGTATGTTGTAAGTCAAATGTCCGCGAACCACATCTGTAAAAAGTATAACTTTGCCTGTGGCCGCCGATCCAACCTTGCGTGCTAAAAGTCTTGAATCACGTTTTTGAAACAGTGCACGTGCAGATTAGTCGCTACACAACGTGGCTGCCTTGATGAATGATTTTGTTTTACAAGCACGTGGTTTTTGAAGGATATCCAGTTCGTTGTCACTTGTCACGACAAAGTATCTATCTTGTTACATACGTTTTCCACACATAATGCACAGCAAACATATAAGCAATAAAAAACAAACGTATTGAAAAAACAAGGTACACTGAGTGAAACAAACTATTAAATTATATGAATTTTTCCTTTGGAAAACAATTGTCCTCGTAACACACTGCTTCATCGTTTATACTCCGGATTATAAGTACCGGGCATTGCATTTTTTTTCTTTTTCATGTTTACTGGAGTACAGACTATTCATTGCCAGTAAGCACATGTCCTCTCAGCGGACTACTTTACATCTTCGAGAAGGTATTCTTAAAAAAGTAACAGAACTGAATTCTTTGCTGTATTATACAACCCTTTAGGGAGACTCTTGGACTTTTCTCATGCTCTCGTGTAATTTAAGCAATAGAAAACTTTTCACGTGTTTGCATAGCCTGATATCGTGGATAATAAAAGACCTTTCTACTACCCATGCTGATATACAAACGAGAAGGTGTTGGGTGACAGTTGGGTTTGCATAACTTTCTAAAAAAATCCCAGCCCTTGAGTATTATATCAGCATGGAGCTTTTTTTTATTATCCATGATGTAAGGCTATACAGGCACAGAAAAAGTTTGGTACTGCTTAAATGGTTGCTAGGCATTACAGAGGCATTAAAGTCTCCATAGGCGATAGCCGGGTATGACCGTAGCTTCTTAGTGCTTAACAATACTCCACCCCAAGGGCAAGCATAACTCAATAGTACACGCTCAGCAGTTTACCATTTGTATTATAACATAATCAGTCGTGTCCTATTCGGATCAACCGTTTTCAGTTGGGCGGGTGGCTAAGGTTTTTTCGTATTCTATTGGAAAAAAGAAACAAAGAAACCGTTTTTGGTCGGTTGAGTTGGTTGGTCAACTTTTTCAACCAGCTCGGAACTTGGTTGAAATGAATGAAGACGATGGGTAGCGTCCACCGATATTTTAGCAAGCATCGATTTTCAAGTGTTGCGTCATTTTTCTGACTTTACCTTTTTTATTATTTCATAAGGAAAATTCTTTAAACAAGAAAAATAAGTAAACTAGATAAATAAATAACCTGTGAGATAGGAGTGACAACCAAGGCATCAATTCCAGACTTAGAATTGTAGACATTTTGTTTCACAAATCCTGGATCAACCACATAGTATATACCATCAATGGTTAGCGATGTCTCCGCAATATTAGTGGCAATTACGACCTGCAAAGATATCCACATACCAAGAAATCGCATTTTAAACTGGTGTTACGTTGTAACAGCTCGTACTTCATACAATTATTTTAAATATGAATACATGAAAAGATTATGAACAGCAATTGTGTGTGGAACTTTCACGTGGTCACCCTAATTTTCCTATTCTTACAGTTGAACCACTGATGACCACATTCATCACCATCTCCAAACGCATCGGGTTTTCAATTTCGTTCCATCCATTTTTTGCCATTCCAAAAAGTCATGCATCAAAAATATAATGCATTCATTTAAAGAATCAAAATTTTCAAGCTGTCCGCATGGATAATGACATCATTTCTATTAAACTAATCAGCCTATTCAACATAATGGAGGTTTGGTGGTTAGTCACAGACCTTTCTGCTGCCAGGAGGGGCAGGGTCGAATATCCTGGTTTGCATCTCCGATGGTAAAGCACTGTACACAGGCAGGATGATAAGTTCGGGAACATCGGGGCCCAAGCTCTTCATTCTTTCATACAGTATTTCACACGCTGTATCGATTTCCTCTTGGCCTAAACGTAATTAGTGGAATTTAAAGCAACTTCATATAATGCACAAGAAAATGCTTAAGAGCAGAAGGCGTAGCCAATTGTTGCTCGGATAAGCGTACGATAAAACGCCTTTTAACATCTTTCCATTTCAGTCCTAATCTACCACAGTTCCGAAAAAGAAAGACGATAGAGGGTTACCCTATACGGCGTTCAACACCTGCGAAAACAAAAATTAGCCTTTGACGCCGAACGTTAGCACCCCAAATTCAACTTGTATGAAAAAAAAGCGGTTCAATATAGAGGGGTTAGTCCAAGCAACTTTGCGTATATTCAGAACTTACCAGCGTCGACTTAGAATTGGCTAAACTAAAACCAAATACAGCCTGGGGATGATAGGGTGCATGGATGCAGACAATATGGACTGGATACACGAAAAACAACTTTATCTCAACAGATTGTATAAAAGTCTTTTAACTGACCGTGTGATTCATAAGTAAAAGACTACTTTGTGGTTTGTCCTTCCAATAAGTTCACGGTTCGAAATAAGAACAACAGACAACCAACAAATCGTTAATTTGCTTCCACGAAAAATTAAATAGTGACTCAAAAGTCTTTTAGCTTCCTTATTTAACACTGATCTACGTTTTGGTGTTTCACTACCCGCACACGACACACTCTCCACGGTTCTGATCAGCTCTCAAGAGAACAGATTTCATATCTCAAACGGTTACGAACAAAAGAGTAGTGACTTTCTTAGTCTCATTAGTTTGTCAAGTCTTTATAATGCACTGTATAATCAGTTCACTGACCTGTTAAGAAGACGAGAATATCGCCAGGAGGTTCCGTTAAATGAATCTGCATGACAGTGATCAATGAAGCGTCGAGGTAATCTGTTTCTGCTTCTTTTGTGTATAAAATCTCCACTGGGAATGTTCGTCCGGGAATCGTAAATATGGGAGCTTCAAAAAAATACGTCGAGAATTTTACGGCATCCAAGGTGGCCGATGTTACAATCAACTTCAAATCTGGTCGCTTTTTTACCGTTTTCTTCATTAAACCAAAAAGAACATCAGTACTTATCGTGCGTTCGTGTGCCTCGTCGAGTATAACAATCGCGTACTGATTCAAGTCAGGATCAAGCAGTGACTCCCTCAGTAACATGCCGTCTGTCATGTATTTAATCTTAGTTTCCGAGCTTGTACAGTCTTCAAATCGAATCGTGTAGCCTACTTCCTGTCCAAGGCGACAGCCGTATTCTTCAGACACTCTTTTAGCGACAGACATGGCGGCAACTCGTCGGGGTTGAGTACAAGCAAGTTTTCCAACAGAAAGAAAACCTTCCTCTGCTAGGTACTGCGTTATCTGTGTTGTTTTTCCGCTACCCGTCTCTCCAATTACAATAAGTACTTGGTTTTCATGGACAGCCTGCAATAACAAAAAATTTGTTTACCGGACAAACTACCGAAGACTAAAGCGATGAAGTGGTCGCGAGTCAGCCAAACGGACGCTTTGCGCCAATAAAATTTCGATCCTCAAAACATTGAGGTTATCTTTCCCCTGAGAAATCAGCAAGGTACAAGGTGGTCATCACCACCACCACCGCCGCCGCCGCCGCAGTGCTGATCAAAGTACGTTTTGCACTTACGGGTTTTTAATTGACCTACAAAACGTCGTAATAAATCCAATTCATTTCAGTACATTTGGAGGGGGGCCTATATCCGGGAGAGTCTTCTGTATTTCTTTGTTTACAAGTAGATGGGCCTACAACTAGGGGATCTCTAAGTCGCAGATTACGGTATTACTGATTCATACGCGAAACAAAGTGACTAAAGTAAGTAGTGCATTACGTCGAGGAAAGCTACCTATACATACCCTTAACAGCTCCTCTCGTAATTTGTATATGGGTAATCCTTGCCTCTGTTCCAGTATAGATAAATTGGTTTTCCTTCCATATGAAGCTTTGTTTCCACCAAACGTGGCACGTTTCCACTCGGGCATGTCGTCATTTGCCAATCCGACTCCCCGCAAATCTTGAGCGAATATTGGCTTATTTCCATCCACTGTGAAAAAAAAAAGCCAAATGAAAGGACGCCACAGAAAGGCGATGCAGCATCAATTAACTACAAGGGGTGGTCAACCACTAGGTAAATCATAATTTCAGAGTGACATAAACCGATAAAGACACTGCTGATCAAAGACAAATTTAGATTTTATGAAAACCAGTAATATAACCAGTGAGAAAAATCGGCGTGCAAGTTTCATTTCCTAAGTTGTTTACTCACAAAAACAACAACAATAACAACATACAATTAACAAAAAAAGGTTCTTACAATCTGGAACAGGATCAACCCAGAGTTTGCCAAGGTCTTTAGGTATACTATCTGCTTGTGCCTCTCGCTGAGCTTGTTTCAGTTCTCTTCTTTCTTTGGCTAGAGCGCTCTGAGTCATTGCGGCCCGTTGCAAGGAGCCATCAGGGTTCTGAAAAATGTACATTAAAAGAACTTTGGCCAAGACATAGAGGAAACATTGTAGACAACAAACCGACATCAATGTAGCTGTACCATATAAAAATCCAAAAAGAGTAAAGGAAGCCTACAAAATAATGACATTGGAAGCTCTGTGGGAAAGATCAACTATGTACGATACAGTACACATATTCTCTGTTTTCCCTTTGAGAGAGTCGTTTCATATCTTGTTTTGGAGCTCCGTTTTCAGAGCCCCCTAGTATTCTTTTCTTTATAATTTATTCATTTAACATCATTCAACATAACGTTACAATAAACTTTACAGCAACAGGGCGAAAAAAGGGGGGCAAAACAGTAAAAAAACAAACAAACAAACAAAAAACGAAATACAAAAGTTCAACAGATTAACAGCAACTGGAAGAACAAATAGAAAAATAACAATAGCACGCGTTTGCTAAATTACTATAAACCAACAATAATCAGAAGCTCAGTATGGCAAAAGATGACCGAGGATAGTTAATTTTAATCCAGTTCAGCTCAGTTTGACCCAAAAATTAGAACACTATTCACATAATTACGACCAACTTGCTGTAAAGCTTTTTATCATCACACGAACTGAGTAAAGGTATATTTTTTTCTCGGTGCTTATTTGTGAAGCCTTTGCCGTTATGACATTCACAAACCAAAAAAGGAGACACAGTAACCCTAACAAGAATCTGTTGGCTGATAAGATGTCAAATAACATCTATCTTTGCACAAAACGCCAAAACTCAAACTAACCGGCTTAAAGGAACTAATCCGTGTTTGGTTGTGAACAGGAGCGTAGCCAAAAACGTTATTCTCACTGGACATTTTAGCTTGAAATCCTCAAACAAAGAATCTAAGATCATGACCAGTTCGCTTAGTTTATTAACTGTTTCTGTTCTCCTACCTTTACAATTTTCACTGGACTCATGGCTACACTAAGTTTAGTTTGCCCTCGTAAAAACAGTGGCTCCTCATCAACTATTTCAATTTCGATATCTTCATCTGTGAGATAAAACCAGTCAAAAAAAATAAATAAATAAATAAAAATAACGAAATTAATGTTGTATTAATCTCGGCGATAATAAGGACATTCGTGGGTTGACCGGCCGTAGCTTGTCATAATTGCTAGTCACAAGGTTCATACAACAGGTTGCTTTGATATTATCAAGGTGAGAGGAATGCGTTAGACAATATTAAGGAAGGGCGGAGCAAGAGGCACTTGCTATCTAAGCAACTAATTACGTCCCTGTACTTTGTCAGCTTGCCACCGGTATATGGAGTTTATGATTGACCGTTTCATACTGGATCACAGAGCCTCCTTCATGCCTCTTTCACACGGTACACAAACCTATGAGACCACAGTAATTGGCTCATCGCTGTTGTGGCACCTCTGCCTATTAAGCATTTATTTATTATTCATTGTTTAGTAATAGGCGAAGCTAATAAAGTAGAAAATAAAATGAGATGATTGTCACGGAGAGCGCTGGACTTTTAATTCGGCGGCCCCGAGTTCAAGTCTAGCCCTGGATTTGTTCTCGGTAGTCCCGAGTTCAAATCGTCGGCCACGCTTGTAAAATAGCCAATTGATTCGCAATCTACAGCTGGGATTTTAAACCACCTTATCAGTGTTATGTTCCATTTAAATTATTTGTTCATTATCCCTGAAAAGCCCCAAAAGTGGAGAGGATAATTAAAGTATTATTATTAGTATTAGTATTTTGCCCCAGGACTCACCTGTCTTTTGTAACAAATGTATTACTGAAATACTTCTTTCAGTACAAAATGGCCCTTAATAACGTTGGGCGGCTATTGACTGAATACCCTAGTTCTTTCAATAGATCTGAGAATGAATACCTTAAGACTGCCCTCTACTACTGACAAACCGGCTAATTAAAGGCTAGTCAACGTTTCTGTGCCAATTCATAGTACTCTTACTTGCCTGAGTCATCATCTTTGGGAAGGATACCCGTTTCTTCATCAAAATCAGGGTAGTCCGCCTTGTCTAACACACCAGCTGAAATTAGCTAAAATACCATCCACACATGTAAGCAGTGCCAGTTACTAGGACGTTTAATAACAAATCTTTAGTCCCTCCGTTTTGTGACCGTGTACCTAACAGTGACCATCATGGTATCTAGACCCATTCCATGACCAGTACTAAACAAGGTCAATTTTATGTAGAGTGTTTGAAGTGGGTGTTTAGGACACTCCATCAAGGCAAATCGGGTAAGTTAGGAAACAAACCTTCCTAACAAACTAAAACTATTTTTTAAAACAATAAACCATACTTTCTAGAACAGCACGAGCATTGACGTTGTTCAACCCCTCTTCCTTCATAAAAATTGCTCCCATACTTAGAAAACTTGTAACAATGGGAGTTTGAAGAAAACCACAAAACATATTTAACAAAGGTCCTCTAAATCTTCATGAACACGCTTTCTGAAAAAAAAAAAAAAAAACAGATGACTGAAAAGACTTGACTTTTGCCGCCTTCCTACGATGCTCAATCCCAAAGTGCCTGTTGTACGAAGGTTAGTCTCACCTGTTTTATTTCCCACTTCTCTGGAGAAGTTATCCTCTGAACTTTGCGTCTACTGCTTGGCTCATCTTCTTCATATACTGGTACAACAGGAATACCTGCCGGTCTTACGAAAATTACAGGACACCAACAACATGTCAATGTTGTTTACTATGACAAATAATAAAAGAGTAAAAAAAAGAGTTGCCAAAGACAAAAGTTGCATTAGGCATCGTTGCTCCCATAGCAAAAACATAGAACAATTGCCGATACTTGCATTGTTCTTGTATTTACAAGAGGAAGTCTTTCAAGAATTTATACATCCGAACTTGTCAAAGCTTTTGACCTTGGTTCTTAACACTTGCGTTATGGTGTTAATGACGTCAGTTTCCTTTGTTGGATGAAAATCTAAACAGTTGATTACAGGACAAAGGAGGAAATACGAATTCAAAACCCTTTTACTTCAATGCCGATGTTCCTTTTCTGAGGGATGATTTCACCTCAGGTGAATTGACGCTACTGAGTAGGAACATTCAACCCAGCGGCATTCAACACTCACAAAAAAAAATCCCTTAATCCGGGTTCAAACAAAGTTTAAAAGGAGAGGTTGCATTGTACAGGAGTGGTACCTGTCGGGGTTTCTTGTCATCTCACTAATTTCACCTCCAACTGGTTGCCTTGATCTAGTAGGATTCAAGTCTTCCCCAGTTTCCTGATCTACATCCTATAAAACCCAATAAAGACCACGTAAAGGACTTGGATCCGTTTATATATTTTTTATGTTTCTGATGTTGACAGTAACTACTTGGAAAGTAATTCTTGTTTTTATTCTTTCCTTCTTTGAATTTATAGACAAAGTTTGGATCTTCAGTGAAAATATTTATCACGGAGTTACCAAATAATGGGACGGCTTGTCTTAATATGACAGTTGGTAAAGTGCCGGTGTGGTGCTGAAATCAAGCCAAAATGTACTTAAGGTCACAGTTCTCAAATAGGCCTTATCACGGTTTTGGCAAGTAGGCAACCGCGTGAGGAATTACAGTGTTTGTGTGAGAATCTAATGCCGAATAATTTCCGTAAAACGGCTGTTCTGAATAAATATGTATTGTAAACTAAAGCTTCACTCCTAACGATTCTACTGAAAAAATTTGAGGTCGTTACAAGCAGCTACATACGCGAAAACCACTTTTTAAAATTTCCTATACATTTGCCTGTAAAAATTTCCCAGGAAAAATTGCAGACAAATATATGGAAAATCTAAAGCAAGCGTCTGGAGAAATTTAAGCACAGTCACGGCCCCCAAAATTTGATAGTAAAATCCTTTGCTGTGTAGCTTTAGTTTACAGTTCATATTTTTTCAGAACAGCCGTTTTACGGAAATTATTCATTATGGAAGACAAGTGTTTTCTCATGAAAAAAAAAAGGGTTCTACCATTAACCAGGAGAGTTTGCTTCCCAGTTGTATTCTAGTAGTTAACAATCAACCGTTTTACATAACATTTATAAAAGCGCTGCAGTTCGCTTTTTCAACGACCTTACTGAAAAGTACCTTGGGTCATTGTACATTTATACCTGAAAACACCAAAACAACTTGCTTCACTATGAAAATTGATTTGAAAAAGTTAGAAATGGCGTTTCCACCGTGGTCCGCAAGCAAATTTCCTTTCTTTGCTGTTAGCTTTTTATCCCTGCTTTTTATACTGATTTCTCAAATACGGCTCCTTGTCCCTGGTTGTCCGTAAATAAGTTTCAATGGAAAATTAACCGCTTGTTTAAGGTGGGTGCTTGAAACATCAAGCCTAGACAGTTTTACCGCTAATAAAATCATTTTGTCAAAGGTTGTTAACTTACGAAATTCGACACTCGCTGAGCTTGCCGATAAAAGCAGAAAAGAAATCGTCAAAACCGTGATAAAAAGAGTTAAAATCATTTCCGGTTTTCTTGTGGTTTGTAGAATATTAGGCTGTGTCTTTTTTTAAAAGGTGTTTTGTAGCTGTATACTTGTAAGTTTTCGCATAGTTTTTATGTAGTTAGGCTTCCCGTTTGGTGCATAAAATTATCAGGCGCTGGAGTCATTCTTCGCTTTCACAAGTTTCATAATCATCTACTCTGTCTGTTGCCTCTACCGGTTTTGTACCCTCTAACTGTTTTCCCCAAGAGCAAGCCCTCTTCATCCTTTAATTCAAGACATGGGCAATCTGTATAGTCGAAGACAGAGATATGAAATATGTCAAGCGCAAAACATCAAATGTAAGAGGTTGAATGGCTCTGGGCGTGACGTCACATTTTCCACTATGCTAGAACCGATTGCGTCAGCTAGTTTTCTATCCAATCTTTCTATTATCTATGTTGTAACCTCGTGAATAGATTCACGAGTTAAAAAAAGGGAAATAGCAGGTATCGAACCCAGTCCCAGGGCTGCGAAGGTTAAGCGTTATTGCAGGTACGAGAAAAATAGAAATGACCTTCCCATCATTCATTCATTCATTCCTTCTTATGCAGACAAAAGAATAGAGCGTTACTGGCTATAAGCCAGTAAGCGCAAATATTAAAATCCTCAAGCGCCTTTGAAAGAGTGATGTCAAAGCGGAGATCTCAGTTTCAAGTCTCAAATGGGACTATTCTTTCCTAACAAAAGGATGCAGTCTTAACACCACACGGATCAATGATAGTCTAGCAATTGCCCCTTCTTAATTTAGAGAAGCTGGTTCCTTTAAATATCTGAGATACGGTGTACATGTAAAGCAAATTCAAAGTGTTTTGTTTTACCTTTATACTTAAGCTGATCTTGCTGCCAGTCATTGAAAGAACTTTGACAACAACTTTTTCCCCTCTCTGAACAACATCACTCACGTTAGCCACTCGCCCTTCGCGTCGAAGCTGTACACACAAAAACAAGGACGATTAAAAGACATTGTAAAAGCCAGTTTACATTCTTTGCCCTAATTTTAGCATGTAGTATAATGTACGTCAGACAACCTAGCCCTTCCAACCAACCATGCAGGCTAAAGATAATCCGCCCCCCCCCCCAAATATAACATGCGCCCCTCCCCTCTTACGATGAACAAGAACGCTCTAAAAGCGTTTTAGTCTCGCTTGCTTGGAAATAGATAAGAAGTGAGGAGGCGATTTATTCATGATTTATTCTACACGAAACAGGATTTCTTTGCTAAAAGTTTTTCACTTCCTTGACGATGATTGAGTCGCGTTTTAATAAACGAAAAACGAGAGAAATTACATCATTGCAAAAGAGAAAAAATAGTCCTTTGGGAGGACATGAGCTTACTTGCAATGAATAGTCTGTACCAGGAAAGGGCAATGGCGGATACCTATGGTGCGAAGCACAACCGTTTAACGTGGTACGAGGACAACTCTTTAATAGTTTGTATCACTCAGTGTACGTTGCTTTTTGAACACGTTTGTTTTCTATTGCCAATATGTGTGCCGTGCGTTATCTGTGGACAACGTATGTACCGAAAAAAGAGACAACGAACCGAATTTCCATTAAAAACCACGTGCTTGCAAAACAAAATCGTTCTTCAAGGCAGTCACGTTGTGTAGAGACTGCTAAATTGCACGTGCACTGGAGCACGTAAGGTTGGTTCGGCGGCCACAGGCAGAGTTAAACTTCTACTGAAATTCTCGAATTGAGTTTGGCCAGATTAATTTCTTTGCTATTTCTGTCCATTCGTAATTGCTTTATGTGTCGGTTGAGTTCTACTAGTAATGGATATTTTTTAATCGCTTGTAGTATTTAACGTTGAAAGTCACAATGTGGGAAATGCAAACACGAATCTGTCGTTTTTACTACGTCAACATTCAATTAAAATGTCACAAATTCGCATAAATTCAAAACATTTCATCTTTATTACGATAATATATCGTGGTAATTTCGCTACGACAATTGCGGGCTTAATGTTGGACAGAAATTACACAGGCAATACAATAGTCCCAATCCTCACGACCGCAAACTTAATTATCCCTAAGAACGATCAGGAACAAATTCTTCGTTGTGATAACAACGCCTTATAAAACAAAGCATGATAGCAGGTACCGAACACAGTTCCTTCCCTTCCGAAGGTTAAGCTTTACCGCACGTACGGGAACAATAGAACATGGCGCGTTATTTGAATCATCGCCGAAAATAAACCGCATGCTCATCACGAGACTCACTTGCATACAACGAAAGTCGTGGCGGTTCTTATCCCAAGTTTCCCCGGTCTTCGCTAGGAACTCCTGGGACTATGCGCCCCTTCTTGGGAAAAAGAAAAAGGAAATGAAAAGCCTCCATTTCTAGAGTTTCGCTCTGCTTGATACCTCGTAGCTCAACATCAGGGGTGAACTGAACGATTCGTATTCAAATAAAAATAAACCTACTTTCATGCATTTCCTTTCCCTTCTGGGAAACCCGATTTGAAATTATCAGCATTTTTTAAACTTACCTGTGAAATATGGACCAAACCCTCGTGTCGACCTCTCAAGCCTTCTAGCTGCACAAAGCATCCAAACTGCATAATAGTAGTCACCTTCCCATTATAGATCTGAAAACAACAGCTACTGTTTATAGGCATTATTACTTACACATCTACTTCAAATGTAAAGAGCGGTAGGTCACTTTCAATTCCTTTTTGTTGTTTAGCAGCAATTGGCATTGACAGGAGTGTAGAAACACACATTTGTCATGTCAAACTATAAATCTGTATTGGTGTGTGTTGATGATGCCTCATACTGAAGATAATACTTATAGCTATCACATAAAAGATGAAAAAAACAATTCACCCATGAACCATCATAACTACAGATCCACGCCCCTTTAATCGTTTGTAATGTCATTGGTTGGAGGTTTACCTGAAAATTCCAATGAAAATCTTGTTCCACTACCCATAATATTAATATGCACTAGTTTTCCCAAATTCAGGAGCAAATGGTTTGACAATTTGAGGTCATTTTCCATACTGTGATTAACAGATGACTGATACGTACCTGATTGACTACTGGAGTGATGGGTGGGGCTTTCTCTACATGGCTTGTACCATGACGTTTTTTTTCTCTTGTATGATCTCTTCCTCTGCTTCGTGACCTGCTTCTACTTCGCCGCCTTTAGTTCAAGAAATGTAAAATACAGTTAGAGA